TGTGACATATTACTAATTTCATTGAATAATTGATCATATCGTTTGTCATAATTAATTAAAGGTACATAAGTTACAAGTTCCCAATGTGCTCCTACAATCCTTAACTCGCCCTGATTTTCGAAAAATATAGCTGTCTCATTCTTAAATTCTTCATTTAAATACGGAAGTTGCCCTTGAATGGTAGAAATGCATAACAACCTACATAAGAAATAATTCAAATTCATCATAACAATTTATTGTTATGGTTTCCTATAATATTATATTAACTGTTCGTTACTTTCCGTTTTCATGTCTTTGGTTACAGTTTTACTAAAGGTCATGTAACCATGTTCATGTCAACTTCTATGTAATTAACAACGACAGTAATTTGTACTATCTATATCTAGTATATGTATAATTATCTTCCCCATTAATTATATATTTTACTTAATTCAATATTTCTAACTTAATTACTTACTTATGCTTATCTAAACCTATGCTTATAAAGACCTATATTGACTACAATAATTCGTCCAGTACAGTATCCATTGTTGTGTCATATGGTTACAGTTTACTAAGGGTCATGTAACCATGTTTCACAACAACTTCAAGTACTGGAGATTTTGGAACAATTTAATTATACTTGTGTTTCCGTTAGGTCTATATCATCATATGATTTATATGAAGTAAGATTTATTGTAGTTAAATAATTAAATCTATTTCTTTCTACCAATTTATAATACCGTGCTATGTTAATTGCTGATATAATCATGACTAATATTACTATTCCCATCGTAACACTTATTATATATATATATTTTGATTCTGACCCGTTTCTATTAGTTGGTTCATCGCACATTGTAGTTGTCCCTATGGATTCTTTAGATTCGGTTTCATCCCTTAGTTTATTGATTTCGGTATTTTATTCAACAATTGTGACGTTCACGTGCGATTCCTTGACAGTGGTGACAACGTTGGATTGGGTGGTTGTTGTACCCAATTGCTTTGTGATATTTTCTTCATTTTGTACCTGAGTGGTTGTAGTAGGCGTAGAGATAATTGCATCTGATTTTATTTGTTCTGGAGAGTTTGTTACTGTACGTTCAGTGTTGTTTGACGGGGTGGTTGTTTCTAATTTGTCGGATAATGATCGTTTTCTGGTTTCCTTTTCTAGAGGTTCCATTGATTGGTTGTTGATTTGATAACTTTGATTAGTGGTGGGTTCTATAAGGAATTGTTTAATTATTATCCTGTCTCCACTCAACCAGAATTGCATTATGGTTGCTTCTTCGTCGTCTTCTCCTCTTAATAGTTGAATTGAACATAAGTTACCTACGTATACGGACAGATATGTTCCATCTGCTTGATCTAGTTTTTCACCGTCCATTGTTCCCTTGCAATTTATACGAATGGTTTGTAAATTACAGGTTTGTCTATAATTATCTGGTACCATTATATTGTTGTCCTTATAAATCGTCATACCTTGTACTACAAGTTCTCCTAGCGGTGTCTTTTTATTAAGTATTATCTTATTCGCTCCTATTGTATCATATGTCACCCTTGCTTGTCCAAGAATCGCCAGTATACCAAATAATCTATAATATAATCAATTTGTTATCATTCTATATTCTTTGTTTGCCAGTAGGTCTTCTGGTTCGGGGATTTACTTCATGTATCCTAACAATGTCCTATGAACCCTTTGTTACATCCTTACTTCGTCCTAGCATATAAATTGTGCACTACTCCTAGTATAATTTTCAGTAAAAGTTCATCTGTCCTTTCCTAGCACACAATTGGCTCAATTAATTAGGTTTACTTAACAATTAAAAACAAGATATCTAACTTAACTATATAATAAAATAACCAAAATATAAAATTAGTAAAATTCAGATTTAATCCAAATAACGCCTTAGCCTAACCGCTGCCTGTTTTCGGCTTCTCGTATGGCCATTCCCCTTCCTCGTGACATACACCTCATGGCATAGTGACTCCATGCCTCGCGATTTATCTCTGGATTGGTTTTGCAGAACTCTTTTGTTACTCGCCATGCCAAATTCAGTCCGGCACGCAACTCTTGTCTACTTTCTTCCCCTGTTAATGGAGGTGGCCTGATTTCACGGTAAATAATGGTCGCCGTGCCTACGGGTGGTTTTACAGCTGGTCTGTTGACGTAAATAATCGGTCTTATTTTACATATATAAGTGGATAACGACTACAATATTACTATTTAATTATTAATCCTCAGGGTTTATATTAAATTTTAATTTAATTTAATAAAATTTAAGACGTTAACACGTTAGCTACCGCTACCTATTACATGCTACTCATAATTTATAGTATTAACTTAACCTAATTTTAATTCTCGTGATACTTTTTCACGTCATTTTTGTGTACAGTGACCTTTCTTCTTCCCCTTTGAATAACAATATTTTCAGTGTCTAACACTTCTAAAATTTCGAAAGGCCCTTTCCATAACGGGGTCAATTTATTTCTTTGGGTATTATCCCTTAACAATATATAGTCTTTTACATGCAACTCTACACTATGTTCATTACTATCATAATTAGTTTTTGATTTGATTTTCTTTTTGATTAATCTTTCCCTAGCGATTTTATGGGATTCCTGCATTCTTAGTTTCAAATCATACAGGTAATCATCGTAATTGTATCTAGGCTCGGGGTTACCTTTCAAATTTACCGGAATATTTATTTCCTTTCCATACAACAAGGTATATGGCTGATAATTTGTGGATGAGTGTTCTGTTGAATTATAAACGAATAGCGCATATGGTAATAATTTATCCCAGGTGTTTAAATCCTTGTCTACGTAATGCCTAAGATATTCGGCTAAAGTTCTGTGTGACCTTTCCAATCCCCCATTGGTCTGTGGATGATACGGGCTAGTATTTATCTTATTAATTTTTAAAAGTTTGTATATTTCTGTGAATGTTTTACTTAGAAAATCTGTCCCTTGATCGGTTAATATGGTCTCTGGCATTCCATGGATACAAACAAAATGTACCACAAAAGCTTCAGCGACAGTATTGGCTGTGTGATTTGGTAATGGTACTCCCAATGAAAATTTGGTTAAATCGTCCTGCATTGTTAAAATATAGGTATTTCCAGAAACAGTAGTTACTAATGGTCCTACTATATCTAGAAATATTTTTTCGAATGGCTTTGAACTTGTGGTGGTTATAACCATGGGTTGTTTAACTTTCCTATTCGTAACCTTGTTCTTTTGGCAGGACTCACATTTCTTAATGTAATCCTTAACATCAGACTTGAGCCCTGGCCAATTAAACTGACGTTTTATTTTCTTAATTGTTTTATTTATTCCTGCATGTCCTCCAAGTACTGAGTCATGAAATTGTTTGAATATAATCAACTTTTCTGCCTCTGTATATTCCATCCTTGAACAAATTAATATTTCTATTCGAGTGTTTCTAAATATGTATCTAATCATGGCTCTGACTTTTTCCCATTCTAACCCGTCCTGTCTACCTAACTGTTTCATTATAAGCTTATTTAGAGAATGTTTTTCGCATAAATATTTTAGATTTAATAGAGCTGTATATAGATTTTCGTACGTAGTGATCTGTTTAGCTTTACTTTTGGTTACTAAGAATATTATATACCTATCCTCGTGTTTAACTTTTGTCACTTCGCCTACTTGTTTGTTTGATTTCAAGATAACAGTATCCCCGAATTTCTGCTTTATTTCGTAATTTGTTCCTGTCCTAAAGTTATAATACTTTTCTATTTCAGTAACTATGTGATAGTCAGATGGTGAGTCTAATAATTCACCATGTACTTCCTTAACGTTTCCATTGGTTATCAATGTGGTTTCGAATTTTACAAGAAAATTGTTATAGCTTTCCTCCTTTATATCTTGTACAGTGAACATTCTTGATAAAGCATCTACGTTACCATTTTGTACTCCCGGTTTATATTTAATAACATAATCGTACTGTTCTAACTGTATCCTCCACCTAGCTAATTTTGATAAAGGATCCTTTAAATTAAATAACCAAGCTAGTGGTCTATGATCGCTCAAGATAGTAAATTTCCTTCCGTATAAATAAGGTCTAAATTGCTTAATTCCGTAAACGATAGCCAAACATTCTAGTTCTGTTGTGGAGTAATTAGATTCACTTGGACTTAAAGTCCTTGAAGCGTAAGCTATGGGCAGATCTTTTCCTATTTCCCCTTGAGATAGTATGGCTCCTAACGCTTTCCCACTAGCATCTGTTGTTAATATAAATTCTTTCGTGAAATCTGGGTATTGCAATACAGGTTCTGTACATAAAGCGTGTTTTAATTTTCCAAAAGCCCTATCACAGTCTTCATTCCAAACAAACGGTACATCTTTCTTTAATAAATTCGTTATAGGCCTAGCTATTGAACTGTAGTTTTCAATGAACTTCCGATAATATCCAGATAATCCTAGGAATGATTTAATTTGTTTTACATTTTTAGGTTCGGGGAAATCAAGAACAGCTTGGATTTTCTTTGGATCAGGTCTTATTCCTGTTTCAGATATAACATGCCCTAAGTATATACATTCCCGTTTAACAAACTCGCATTTATCTGGTTGAATCTTTAAGTTATGCGTTCTTAGTCGCTCGAATACATCTACTAACTTATTATTGTGATCTATCAAATTTTTGCCCATAAATAATTATATCGTCAAGATATACTAGACATTTAATTCCAATTATCCCAGATAATACATTATCCATAAGTCTCTGGAATGTCGAGGGGCTAGTTTTCATCCCCATCGCCATTCGCCTAAAATGGTAGTGTGCATTATTCGCGGAAAAAGCTGTAAGCTCACGCGAAGATTCTGATAACGGAATTTGATAAAAACCTGAGGCAAGGTCAATTACGCTAAACAATTGACATTGTCCTAAATGATCGAGTATTTCCGTGATGTTAGGTAAGGGATGAAATTCATTCAGAGTTACTTGATTTAAAGCTCTAAAGTCTATCACAATTCGAAACTTTTCTTTACCACTTGCATCCAGTTTTTTCTTAACAAGTAAGAGCGGGGCGTTCCAAGGTGAACTAGAAGGTTCTATAATTCCATCCTGTTCCATTTTATCTAACTGTTGTTTAATTTCAGATTGTTGTGAATGTGGCAACCTATATGGTCTTTGATAAATGGGTTGTTGATTAACGTTTAAATTAATGACATGCTCGGCTGCATTTGTAAAAGTTAGTCGATCGCCTTCTAAATGGAATATTTCGGAATATTGCTCACATATTTCAAAAATGGATTTTCGCTCATCAATGCTCATATGATCACTTCGTATTAAATTAAGGATTCTATTTACACGATTATCGTTGTTAATCTCGGCATGTACCGTATGTATATTATAACTCGTCGCGGTATCATATAATATTCGATTCATTATACTTTCATTTATTTCCTTCGTTACTTCGGAAACATTTAATATACTAACTATAACTTTTCCTAATTTTACTGTTCCTACCACATTGGCACAGTATACATCCTTTATTAATTCCTGCTTATAAACTATAATGTCTTTATTCTCCATAGCCGGATCGGCAATTGGTATAGCTACCACTGTTTCCGTTCGTGGATTCAATTTAAAACATAATTTTTCCTTAATTATCTTATTGACTATCTTATTATTTATTATTAACGAATTATTAGCTACATCAATTACTGCCTTATTTTCCATTAAAAATTGTTGTCCTAAAATACCATCCTTAGGTATAGGAAACGAATCACGTACTACTTGAAATACCGTTTCAATATTAACTTCATTAAATCTTAAAGTTATCTTAATTTGTCCTACTGTCGACACTATCTTATCATTAATTCCCTTTAAATATATTTTTTTTTTTCGTGTACTAGTGTGTCACCTGTCAAAGCACTAAATTTTATTAAATTAACATCGCTTCCAGTATCTACCAGCAATTCTATAAATTCTTTTCTTATATTAACAGACTGGCAAGTGACATGATTGTTGTTTAAGACTGATACGACGTGTAGGCATTGTCGGAATCTTCCTCGACCGCGGCTATTAAATTTATCGGGCGAGCGCCACTCATGTCGCCCGATCTCGGCAAGTTTCCCGAATTATTATTGTACCTATCGTTATTCTGTTTCCTAAAACACTTGGTAACGTCATGTCCAGATTTTTTACAATACGTGCATATAACGTCTACCGGAGCGTTGTAATTAGTAGGCTGTCGCGTGAAATTATGGTTAGATGGACGCGAATTGTTACTATTACGATGCTGTACACAATCCCGGGCAAAATGATTGCCTCCGCATTGATAACATCGTATGTTACCTATTGCATTGTTATTATTCCGATAATTACTACCACGATTATAGTCATTGCTGCGATTAAAA